GAAACAACCCCCGAGTTTACAGATTCATTAAAAATTATCGCTAAGGGGCCTGCTATTTCTCGCGCCAATTCCTTCAATATTCTCGGATGAAGATCATCCGGTCCGCCCGACTTAGTCCCATTGAGGTGTTCAAGTTTGGTTTCTACCTCGGATACGGTAATCTCCCCTCCTGTATCCCCCCTCCTGTATCCCCCTCTGTCACGCCGCTAATATTCCTAATCCCTTCATTCGCCTCATTGAACACCGATGCAAAATATTCGTTTAGATATTGTGCCATGCCTAGATTATCCTTAATCTCCTCTCCAGCTATAGTCGTCAGCGGTCCCACTTCTTCTTTCTTTGCTTTATTCCTATTTATATGGCTGTAAAACCTCTTACTATTGCTTTTAATTCCCCTCGCAAGGTCCAACTCTACATGGCTTTTGGCCTTTCTTACTCCATCTCTACATGCTCTGACCTCACTAAGGTAAGTTTCCTTACTGATCCCTCCCCTCTTCCACTCTTTGTATGCTTTCTGTTTTTTCCTAATCACCCCTTTGAGACAGTCGCTCATCCAGCTCGGTCTATATCTCTTGCTCACTAACCTTTTCCCTTTTTCGGGATACAGGCCTCCGACAGCTCATGCAGCTTTAGCTTAAAATAACCCCAGGCTTCTTCTGCCTTTAGATCCATTAATACATTTGCCCAATCCACTTCCCTTACCAGTCCTCTTAATTTGTTAAAATTAGCCTTTTTAAAATTATAAACCCTAGTCTTTGATTTAATTCTGTTACTCCTTCCATTTAGTTTAAACCGAATTAGCTCATGATCACTGGAGCCCAAGTTGTCCCCTACAACCACTTCCTCAACGAGGTCCTCACTACTCACCAAAACCAAATCCAAAATGGCCTCTCCCCTCATCGGTTCAGCTACCACTTGATGAAGGAATTGATCGGCAAGCACATCTAGGAACATCTGAGCCCTATTATTGCTATTAGCATTTGTTCCCCAATCTATATCTGGGAAGTTAAAGTCCCCCATAATTACACAGTTCCTATTAGTATTTGCTTCCCTAAATACATTAAATAGTTCTTTATCCATATCCTGGATCGATCCCGGCGGTCTATAGCACACCCCAAGCACTATCCCCGGAAATGCTCTGGTAGTTCTTTTACCCAGTGTGAGTATTGCACAGACGGACTCCGTCTTATCTATTCCATCAACTATTATTTCTTTACAGCTTACCTCATTATTGACATACAATGCCACTCCCCCACCTTTACCTTTGTTCCGGTCATTCCTAAACAGCGCATACCCTTCCATACCTGTATTCCAGTCGTGACTGCCGTTCCACCACGTTTCAGTTATTCCTACGATATCCGGTTTCAATTCTCGGACCAGGAGCTCCAATTCCTCCATTTTGTTACCTAGGCTTCTCGCATTGGTGTATAAACATCCTAATGTATGCCGTTTAGCCTGTCTCCCATTAGTAACGCAATTTGTTACAGACCCCTTACTGTTCATCTCCCCTCTCCTTCTTATGTCCAATCCCATCCCCCCGGCTATATCTCCTCTCATCTCATCACTTGCCTTTTCAATGTCGGAATCTGGCGTGGAGATTGACTGTACATCTCCCAACCGTCTCCCTCAACTTCCTAGTTTAAAGCTCTTTTAATGAGATGAGCCAGCCTCCCCCCCAGAAGTCTATTTCCTTCTCTACTCAGGTGAAGCCCATCCCGTGAGAACAGCTGTCTGTCCCCGAAAGCCTCCCAGTGGCCATACATCCCAAAGCCCTCCTTATAGCACCACTCCCTTAGCCAACTATTTATTCTCACAATCCTATCAGCCCATTGCTGCCCTTCTCTAGGAACAGGCAGAATCCCACTAAAGATAATCTGAGCCTCTATCTCCTTGAGCGTCTTACCCAGCCTGGCATAATCTCCCTTGATTCTCTCTAACGAGAACCTAGCCGTGTCATTCGTTCCTACATGAAGGATTATCAAGGGGTTCTTACCTGCTCCTTTTAGTATACTTTTCAACCGCAGGTCCACATCACGTATCTTTGCGCCCAGTAGACAGCACACCCTTCTGTTTTCCGGGTCCGCCCTGGTCACAGGCCTGTCTAATCTCCTCAGTAAAGAGTCCCCAATCACATACACCTGCCGTCGCCTGGCAACAGTGCGATCTAATAATCTAATCTCTGGTCCCTCTAGTCCTAACCCGCGTCTGTTCCTATCTTCCCTTATACTCCCCCTTGTGCCTTCCTGAATCCTCTGGGGGCCCAGATTTGGTACTGTCTCCATCAACTCCCCCCCTCTCTCTATCGGACTAGCCGCTCTTCCCTTCTTCCTCACCCTCCCACCTTCAGTCCCCACCTGCTGCCCCCCCTCCTCGTTATCCAAACACCCAAACCTGTTCCTGAGTTCTATTTCCCCCTCACTAGCCCTTCTTTTCCTTGGCCTGCTTCTCACGGTCACATGCTTCCACTGCCCTTGTTCTCCCCCTAACATTCCCCCCTCACAGTCCTCTACCTCTGCTTCCACCTGCATCCCTGAGCATTCCCCTTCAGCCCCTCCTTGCCTATCCTCCATCAGCTGCTCGAATCCCCTTCTAAACTCCACCAGGGTATCTACCTGCATCTCCAACCCCT